TGCATTCCTGGATTGACGTTAATCATATAGAGGGTATACTTGAATTAATACACGGAAGGTTCTTCAAACAAAGAGTTTGTTCAGAATTTTCACATCAAAGGTCAAAAGAAAAATAGATCTATTACTTTTCTATGTTTTGCTATTTGAGTCATACAGGTTTCAACAAACTAGCATGGAAAAGTAATTGGGAAATGTACTTTTTCTCCCTATGATCTGTAATATTTTAAGTTTTTTAAGTTTATTTTTTATTTTATTTTAAGCAAAGTCTACATCCAACAGGGGGCTCGAACTCACACTCCAAGATCAAAAGTTGCATGCTCTACCATCTGAACCAGCCAGACACCTCTTATGATCTGTAATATTTTTAATAATATCTTCAATAATAATACTTTTAATGATATCCTCTATTCCTCAAAGGCTAGACAAAATTTCACTCCAAAAGCATCTAGGTAAGGTTTCTTCTATAATGACATATTCATTTTACTAGTTTTCTTTGTACATATTTTATAAGCCGTGCAGGCTTTCTACCTCTTCTTCTGTAAATTTTGGTCTTTTATATGTTGCTAAAATTCATCCATTTTCTCCCCACTTTCAAATGTATTACCTTAGAGAGGTACACATTATTTTGTACATAATTCTTTTTATATCTTTAATTTTCATTAATGTTTTCATTCACATAGTCATGTTTCCACCCCACTCCCACTTATCCACCAATCATTCCATCCATTTACTCACGCATCCATCCACTCACCTAGCCTGCATAAACATAACTTTAAATTGATCTGTCTTTCCAACCACTTGTTCACTCATATATCTACGCACTTCCCCTTCTCACCCATCTTCTTTCTACCTATCCAGCTGCCTGTTTTATATCCAGCCTTTATCCATCTTTCACACACACACATTCTCTCATGCCCATCAACATACTTCTCCAACATTTCTATGCCTATCTGCCCTCCATCCACCTACCAATTTACTCATCTACCTTTCATTCAAAGAGTTTCCATCGATAGGCCCATTCATCCCATGACTAACCTATCCATCCTTATGTTCAATCCAATCCACTTCTTCCCCAGCCGTTGACCCACCCATCCATGTTCATGCATTCACGCACCCAAATATCCATGATAGCCCCACCCATCCTTCTTCATATTCTTCATCTTCCCATTCATCATACATACCATGAGCCATCCACATATTGACCTTGCTCATCCAGTGGTTTGTACTGAGTGTTTATTCTGGGTCTATTAATGTTCTAAGCACTAGGTTCTAGACACAGACCTGTTCAATGAAGCTCAGAGTTTATTTGGGGAAACAAACATGAAACTCAGTAATACCCCTGGAGGCACAGAGAACAACACAGAAAGCCAGGGACAGGAAGTTTGAGCAAAGTGTCTTGGCCTAATTAGCAAGCAGGAATTTCCAGGTAGAGGCCTTCTACCTTGGTACCCTCTTGGAGTCCCTCACTCTGAGCAGGGGATTGGTGCTGGAACAGAAGTGTGGTTGAGACAGAGGGAGGGCAATATGACCATCAGTGACAGGAGATAAAGGAAGCAGGGCAAAGATCTACATGGATATTTACTCGGCCTTCTTCAAGAACTTGGGTGAGGGAAGAGGCCAAAAATGTCATTCATCCTAGGCCCCAAAGGCATAAATTTCATCTCACCCACCTGGAAAGTGAGATCCTTGGGTGGGGTGGGATATTAGGCAGGACAGAAGAGATAGAACAACCTGAAATTCTGAATTTTCATTTACATTCAAGAAAATTTAGAGAATTCAGCCTTGTTTGGGAGCCCTGGGAACCATTTGGACATTTACAGACTCGGGGGACTCTTTAGCCTCTGTCCCCACTATAGACATCACTTTCATCCCTTTTTATGCACTATTCCTCCCTACCTTCAACTCCATAGCGAGATATTATATCCATACTTGTATCAGAACATTCCATAGTGACCTCTGACAAGAACTCAGACACTCCATTCCCTTTTACCTTTATCTCTGACACTCACTAACTTGGTGACATTGAGTCAGCATCTGCATTCCTCTGGGACTTATCATCCCTATGTATGGAACTTGTGCCCTCAGAGTCCTTCCACCCAGTTGGTTCAGCTTTGTGTTCTCTCCTGGACTGAGTTTGGGAGGGACGCAGAATAAGGGGGAGAGCACCACTCAAGACATCTTGGTTGTTCATTAGAAATTTATTCCTTGATCCCTTTGTGGGGTCCACCTAGTTCCTGAAACTGGTGGGATGGGATTCTGTAGCGTAAGTGCCTGATATTCAGCCTTTTCATTGTAATGTAAGTGCCTGACATTAAGCTTTTGAGTGCTGAGGCATCCATTCAAAGACACCCATCTCAAATAAATACATCCCCAGCTATGTAACACAGATACTAACAACACAACTAGGATAAGGAACCAGCTGCCCTCACCAATGAAGTTCCCCTTTTAGAAAGGCCTCCAGTAACCCAGATAACTAATCACTGGAGTGACACTGCTTCTCCCTTCCCACACCATAATCCACACTTTTATATGCTTTAAATTCACCAATAGAAAGTGAACCCATGAAACCTTAGCTATTCCACCCTTGGACCTGAATAAAGGGAGAGCCCCAAGTCTGCACTTTCTCCCCCTCTCTCTGTCCACAACCTTCTGTGTGGCCTTCTGACTTGGCATGTACCCTCCAGGGCTTGTGAGCAATAAATCTCGTTTTCTTAAGTTCCCTGGTGATTTGGCAGAGGTGGGTCCTGTGATCATAATAAAACCACAAAGCCTGGTCCAACCACAACACTGGTCCAGTGGTGGTAGGGGGGTGTCTCTGAGGGGAATGTCTGTGGGTCTCATTTCGAGTAAATATGCTCCAAGGGCATCTCAGGCTTTCCTAGCAGAGAATATCACTGTCAATAGGCTGAGACCTACACCACAGATTCCCATAGGGGGCTCTGTTGGTGATCCTAAATTTTGTGACCATATAGTCACTCACTGATGATAAGGCTGGCTTTGTCTGGTTTTGCCCATCGTGTAGGACAAATGGAGAACAAAGCTTGGCCCCAAAGTGCAACAGCTAGTTAAGGAAGGAAATGGGAACCCTACAGATGACATTTACACTTTGAAGAGAGTCTCTCCTTCTGCCAAGACTGATGGACTCGCTGGCATTGTGGATTCCCTGTAGGAAAGCTACCAAGTACCCCAGCACTCTTTCCAGAGCCCTTTCACCAGTTCAGTCAGAAGCCAGCAACTCTGCTGCCTATGGACCTTTACTGGGGTATAGTCTCTCAAGCAGGTCTCCCCATCTTCCAGTTCCTCCTCAAACAACAAGGAGTTTGCACCAGATGGGAGACACTGCCCATGAGCTCTTCTGACATTCTCCACTGCTCTCAAACAATAGGACCTCGACAAACACTTTCTGAAAACTCAGCTGATAGGCTGTTCCTCCACCACACCCCACTCTGTGGCAACAAATTTACTCTTTGACCTTAGTCAAAGAATATGAACTACCCAAAGAAAGGGGAGAAAGTTGGGAGGAAAGGGTGGGAGTAGGAGAAAGAGACACAGAGACCATGAGAGTTCCACAGAAAAAGAAAGTAAGTCAGACACCGACACAAAGGGGCACAGAAAAACAAAGAGGTAACAAGAGATCCGTAGAGACACATTGTCAGAGACAAACAAAAGGGGCATGCCACTCAGCATGCAGATAAAATGGAAAGTGAATGGACAATAAGCACATTCCACAACTCTCAGGGTCATCAAGAAGAAGACCCTTGATGGTGGCATTGAGTCCTAAGGTCACCTAGAAAGTGAGACAAGTTTTGCCCACTCCCCCTGGTTGACCAGAGGGCCCAGCCCAGCCCAGGCTGCTGAGGATCAGGAGCCATGCAATCAAAGACCCTTCCCCAGGGCTGTGCACTGTAGATGCCAGCTGGTCACATTGATAATCTCAGGAACTTGGCGTTCCCAGCAGGAAAGGAGGTGTCTGGCTTGACTCCAGTTCTCACATCCAAGATACTGACTACTAAAGAAATAGGCTGGACAAAGGCAGCTAGACATTTTCATGTTCTGGAATCACCAGACAGTCCAGCTCTTCTTCAGAATGGAGTCTTCTAGATTTTTGAGCATCCTGGTCTTATCTACCCTTCTAGTGAATGTCCAGGGACCTGGTCTGACCTACTGGATCTTTCCCAGTAAGTACTGGGGCCTCAGCCCTCGCCCTGGAGAGAGGGAAGGTTGCTGGGAGGAGGGAACAAGGAATAAGACTCGAGTTGCTTCCCACCATGTTAGCCCTGGTCCCAGGTGGGGACATATTTGGAATATTTCTTCCAATTTCCCTCTTGATGGAAGATCCCTTCAGTGAATGCAAGATTGCAGACCTGAGGCAACCCCCACTTTCAGTCCCTTTGAAGTGAGGGTCAATTGGGAATGAAGGGAGGAGTCACAGGATCCAGAGTTTATGGGAGGGGCTATAGGAATCTTGGAAGCCTAGTAGACCGTCCCCTCACCCCACAACAGAAACAGCCCCCATTCTCAGGATATCATCTCTACCAACTCCTGATTCTTTCAAATGCAGCCTTATAAAGTATTCTTGCATCCCCAGGTGTGCCCTGCCTTTGAAATAAAAGTATCCAGAAGTTTCTCTGAACTGAAGACAGTAGTACTCCATGACTATATAGTAATAATGATAATTGCTACCACTCACTGAACATTTAGAAAGTAAGGAGTTTGAGAGATCTGGATTCAGACATGGTGGGCCCAAATTCTGGTTCCACCACTCAGTAGCCATAACCTTGGGCAAGTTACTTAAATTCCATGTGCTTCTGTCTCCTCTGCAAAATGGGGATGTCTGTAGAACTCAATGGGATAGTATTTAAAATGCATAGAAAAGTGCTTGGCTTATGGGAAACAGTTGACAAACTTTAATTAACATTGCTATGAATCAGTTCCTATGATTCGAGCTTTACACATTTTGTCTCATTTCTTCCTCAGTGACTCTGTAAGGCTAAAACAATTTTACAAGTGAAAAACCCAAGGTTCAGAGAGGTGAGTGGTAAGCCAAGAGGTAGAATTTAAAAACCTGACTCTCCGATGCCAGGGTGAGGGATATTAATCACTGTGCAATAGCACTGCCCCCCACCCCGGAGGAACTCCCAAACACTGACTCCTCAAGGAGGCCAAAATGACCAGATTAGCTTAGACCAGTGGCTTTTAGTGGGGTGATTTTGCCTTCCAGGGGACATTTGCTATGTCTGGAGACATTTTTGGTTGTTCAACTGGGGAGTGCTATTGGCATCCAGTGGATAGAGGGCTGGGATGCTGTAAACATCCTACGGTGCACAAGGCAGCCCTCCCCCTCCCATAAATAATGATGAGGCCCTAGGGGCAAGGTTGAGAAATCCTGCCTTAGAGGGGGTGGCACTAGGGGGTGGAACTAGGGACGGGGTAAGAAGGTAGAGAATAAGGGGTGGTCAGAAGGGAGGGTAGTGAAGGCGGTGTTGGGAAATACATGAAAGCACCCTGCGGAAAAGGTCTCCTGTGGATGAACAAAGAGAAAACAAACTTCCCTGACTCCCCAGAATTGCCTCAGGTTGGGAGAAGAGTGGGCACTGTGCCCGCCAACATCCACAGTTGTAAAACTGTCCTTTTCCTAGGGAGATGCCCCAAAATCCGAGAGAAATGTGAATTCAGAGAAAGGGATGTATGTACAAAGGACAAACAGTGCCTGGACAACAAGAAGAAGTGTTGCATCTTCAGCTGTGGAAAAAAATGCTTAGACCTCCACCAAGGTAATATTCAGAGCCTCAGAATAACCAGCCCTTCTGCCCACACCCTCATCTTATGGCCACGGCGGTGGCATCGTCCCTGCTTTGCTAAGGGCTGGTCTCTGACCAAGATTGCTGGGTTGGGGAAGACCTGCAATTTAGAGCCATCACTGCCCCTGATATTATGTGTGACATTAGATAGTATCCTCATCCTGTCTGGACCTCAGTTTCCCCAAACAGAAGATGACTGTAGGATTGTACCAGACAGTCTCATGGTTGCTTTTAACTCTTATGATTTTCTTTTTTGTTTGTTTGGACTCGTGAACTTCTGACTCCCCACTTGGCTACTGTTGGCACATTGTTGCTGGAAGTGATAATGAAGCTATTGATATTTACCAGCTTTTTGCTGCAGAGGGGCAGCCTCTCTGCTTATTGAAGTCCATCTTAGCCCCAGGACACCTCCCTCGACTACTCCAGACCAGAGGGCCTTTCCTTTGCTCCTGCAATCTTAACTCCATGGCCATCTCCTTGGGCTCCAAATAGACTATCAAAGATACTTTACTCTTTGTTTAACAAATATACATTGAGTGTCTCTGAGACTCATAATAGGATTTGACCAGTATGGTCAGGGAGGTGAAGAAGGCTTCCCTGAGAAAGCAATCTGGAGTTGTGTTCAGAAGGATGGGTAGTAAATTTAGGCATACTGTCGGCGGGGGGAAGGCTTTTGCAGGTGCAGGGAATAATATGCACAAAGGCTCAGTGGTGGGGCCTGGAGGCCAGAGAGCAAGAGTACATATGAGCATGGTACGAGGGAAAGGATCTTTGGTAGGTAGGGTCTGGTGGCCTAGCATCTCCCTTTGATCCAAAGTGATGGAAATCCACTGAGGTGGACAGTGACGTGATCATGTTGTTCTTCAAGGATTTCAGGAAGAGAGGATGTGGTAGCTTGGACCAGAGAGGTAGCTGAGGGGATGGAGAGGAGTGGGGTGTGTTTGAAAAGTGTCTAGGAGGTCAAGTAAGCAGGACCTGACAATGGAGCAGAGTGGGTAGGAGGATGGTAAGTTGTTCATTTGCTTACAGGTGAGGGATTCTGAATCCAGGCTCCCTGAGTTCAATTCTTAGCTCTGGTTTTTACCAGCCTGAGCAAATTAACAACTCTCCCCCACTGTTCCTCAGTTTCCCCAGATAATAAAAGGGCCAGTGTTAAATCCTCCAAGTATGGAGGATCAAATAAGTTGATGCACATGAAGTACTTAGAGCAATGCCTGGCACAATATCCCCAGATGACATATATTAGTTTAAATTATTTGTTATTCTTGACTGGGAGCTCCTAAAGAGTAGAGGCCATGCCTTTTCTTTGTCTCTTAAAGCATCTTGCACACAGTAGGTACTCAATGAATGGCTTATTTAGTTCAGGTCAGGGTGCATTTGGTTTTACCCTCAACATTCTGCATGATCCTATGCTGAGCCAGACCACCTGCTAGGAAGGAGGCTCCAAGATGAAATCAGACACAATCTCTGCTCCCTGGGAAGCTCACAACCTCATGGAGGAGACTGAGGATGTAAACCAGTGACAATCATGCCCATGAGATCAGAAGCATGGTGGAACAATGCAGGATTGGCACCTGTAGGGGTATGGGGTGTGTATGGAGTCAGTGACATCACAGAGGAGCTGATGTCTGAGGTTTTGAAGGAAGAGTGGGAGTGTCACTAATGAACAGCAGCAGGGTGGGCAGAGGGAATGCAGCGTGAAAGGTGTAGATGTGTGGGATAGCAAAGGGTGTTGAATATTGCAGAAGCATGTACCTCAAATGGTACTGTGGTGGGGGCTGGAGCAGAACCACAAGCAGGAGCCAACCTACAGAGCCTGTGAGTCATGGGAAGTCTTGCCACGAAGTCAAGGTCTTAGCTGTGGAATGATGTGATCAGCTTTGTTTCAGGTTCATTAGGTCCTTCCCTCTGGTGGGCAGCACGAAGGATTGATTGGAGGGGCTAGAGACAGGGGCAGGAGATCAGTTCCAGGCTATCCCAACAGCCCAGGCATGAGACACTGAAGATTAAAGAGAGTGGCAGAGAAGTAAGCCAGGAGTTTTCCCTTGAGAAACTCAGAGTTTAGTTCAGATCTGCATTCATTTGCTAGGGCTGCTATAACAAAGGACCACAAACTGGGTGGCTGAAACAACAGAAACGTATTGTCTCAAGGTCCTCAGGCTACAAGTCCAAGGTCAAGTGTTGGCAAGGCAGGTTCTTTCTCAGGTTATCAGGAGAGCATCTGTTCCATGCTTCTCCCCTAACTTGTGGTGGTGTGCTGGCAATCTTTGGCAGTCCCGGGCTTGTAGACATCTACCTTCAGCTTCACATGGTGTTCTCTCTCTCTCTCTCTCTCTCTTTCTCTCTCTCTGTGTCCAAATTTCCCCTTTCTATAAGAAGACCAATCATATTGGATTAGGGATGCATCCTCCTCCAGGATGACTCATCTTAAATAATTACATCTGCCATAACTCTATTTCCAAATAGGATCACATTCTGAAGTAGTGAGGGTTAGGACTTCCCGGGAAACAAACTGAGGGTTTCAGAGGGGAGTGGGGGAGAGGGGATGGGGTAACAAGGTGATGGGTATTAAGGAGGGCACGTGTTGTGATGAGTACTGCATGTTATATGCAACTAATGAATCATTGAACACTACATCAAAAACTAATGATGTACTATACAGTTGCTAACTGAACATAATAAAAAAATAATTAAAAAACAAAACAAAACAAAAAACATATGAATGGGTGTGGGGTGGGTAGGGAGAGACACAATTCAACCCATCACAGGACTGAAGCTAACTGCAGGATGAAAGGTGCTTGGCCATCTAAAAAACTAGCCCCTGCCTTCCCTGCCCTACTTGCCTTTTACTCGTGATCCCAGATTCTCTCTTCCTGGCATGGTTTGCAGGGCAGAGTATGTGGCTTATATTTTGTCATTTTCAAGGCACTTCCATCTCTTTTATCCATTCAGGACGTATTTATTGAGCAGCTGTTCTCTGCCAGGCACTGTGCTAAAAGCTGCCCATTCAGGTCCATGAGGGCAGTCTCACTTGTACCTTAGGACAGCCCTGTGCCACTAGCAGGGTGGGATGTTGCATTCCCATTTTCCAGAAGAGGAAGTAAAGGACAAGACAGGTAACAGGGGAGGTCGATATGCACACACTGAATTGGGAGCAGAGCCTTGAAATCAGTCTCCTCACTCTCAGGGAAGACAGTGGGGATGGTGACCATGAGGAATGGGGGAGACAGATGTTCTACAGGCCTGCAGACACCCCAACAGCTCTGCTCTGGGGTCTCCCTGCAATGTGTACCATACTCCAGTGGAGCTGGGCTGTGATAAGGGGAAAAGAGCCTGCTCCATTCCATGTCTGGTGGTTTGCAGGGGTAACAATATCAGCTGCTTTCTTGAGGGGTGGACACTCGTATTGCTCAAGTCTGGGGTCTCCCTACAGATATATGCACCATGCCCAAAGAACCTGGCCCTTGCATGGCATTTTTTCATCGTTGGTGGTACGATAAGGAGAAGAATATCTGCTCCAGGTTCATCTATGGTGGCTGCAAAGGAAACAACAACAATTTCCAGTCCAAAGCCATGTGCCAGAACATGTGCCCCAGCAATCGTGAGTCCCTGGGGCGTCCTGTCCTCACTAGGGCCCTGCCAGCAGACCTGTGTGTAGCTGCCTTGTTCAGGCACGGCCACAGCCTTGGTAGGCCAGGTGCTGACAGAGCCAGCTCCACTTGGGAGGTGAGCATGCACCTGGCAGAGGGATGGACAGCGGCATTCTGGGAACTGAGGTTGGGAAAGGATGTGCTCATGATCAAAGCTGGCAAGTATGAGGGGTGGAGGGAGCATACATACGTGGTGAAATCCCAGAGACCAGCTCCACAGAGGTCACAGGACATCCAACCTAGTGTTGGATCACCAGCACTCTATCCCGACCACATCCTGTTTCTCCTGTAAGGAGGAAAGCTATAGCTCCCCGGAGAAAACCCACTTTGTTTTTGCCTCCCGTGCAAAGATGCATGAACGTCATTTCAAGACTCGCTCTGAAGATAAGCTGAGCCCAAGATGCTTAGTGGGTCCTGTCTTACATTCTACCAGGCTCCTAACTGTCAGTGCATCAAGATGCACCTGAACAGCCGCCAGGAATTGGCTCGTGATCCAAGGCTCTGTCCATGCACCTGACTGATGCTTCACGTTGGCGTCCACTCTTCCACTCCACATTCCAAGGGCTCAGCTCTTCCGCAAACAGAGCCCTGGGATCTGCATTCCCCTTTCTCTAGCTCAGCCTCGTTTCACACATGGTATCATTCTCTTTTGATCCCATCTCTATGCTTCTTTCCTTTATGTCCGACGTCTAGAGCCTCCTGTCTATACCTGCATAGCTCCCAGGTTTCCCCAATAAAGTACTCTGTTTAGTCCTGTGCCTCTGTGGCTGAATAATTCATATCTGTTGGTACATTACACTTTGCAGAGACTAAAGGGTCATTGAGGCTCTTGTGACACCATTAAAGGGAGTGAGAACTGTCAGAACCTTGAGAGTTGAGAGCTCCAGGGACATTGTTATCCTCCTCTGTTTCTTCAAAAAAATTGTAAGACCCTTTTAAGACAAGGGTCTATGGGCATTGCCTTAGTTTGGATCCCCCAGAAACCAATCCTAGGACAAGGACATGGGTAGAGGAGTTTATTTGGGAGATGTCTCAATACACACAAGGTGGGGATGGGGTAGGTGATACAGGCAAGAGAGGAGTGTATCATGATTATAATTATGGTTACCGTGGGGGCAAACTGCAGCTTACTCCCCCTGGGACCTTCTAAGGAACCCTGTAAAACATGTGTCCAAATGTCTACATTCATCTCCAGTGATGGGGCAGCTGAGGCGTTTATTCATTAATTCCCATCCCCTCCTGGCTGCCTGGGCCTATGAAACCCCTTGCTCCTCCAGATTATTCCCCACACAAGCTGAGCAAGCTGTCAGGGAGCCAGAGAAAACCCACAGCACAGAAGTAGAGACTCTGACACTTGAAGTGGGAAGCTATCACTGTGCACTGGCCACAACAAGAAGCAAAGAACTAACACAAGATACACTGTGGATGAACCTCAAAAGCATTAGGTGATGCAAAAAAAGCCAGACAGGAAAGGTCATATACTATATGATTCCATTTATATGACATATCCAGAATAGGTAGATCCATAGAAACAGAAAGTAGGTTACTGGTTGCCAGGGGCAGGATTAGGCTGGGGAAAATAGTGACTGCTAATAGGTAGAGATTGTCCTTTTTTTTTTAGTTTTATTTCTTTAAGTAATCTCTACACCAGAGGTGGGGCTCGAGCTCCCGAGATCAAGAGTTGCGTGGTCTTCTGACTGAGCCAGCCAGGTGCCCCTAAGATTTTCTTCCGGAGTGATAAAAATATTGTGGAACTAATAAAGGTGATGGTTACACAACATTGTGAAGGCACTTAAAAGCCTCTGATCTGGAGAAGTGTCTGTTCATGTCTTCTGCTCATTTTTTGACTTGATTATTTGTTTTTTGGGTGTTGAGTTTGAGAAGTTCTTTATAGATCTTGGATATCTTGGATATCAGCCCTTATCTGTAGTGCCATTTGCAAATATCTTCTCCCAGGCACATGAAAAAATGTTCATCATCATTAGCCATCAGGGAAATTCAAATCAAAACCACACTGAGATACCACCTTACAACTAGAATGGCAAAAATTGACAAGGCAAGAAACAACAAATGTTGGAGAGGTTGTGGAGAAAGGGGAACCCTCTTACAGTGTTGCTGGGAATGCAAGCTGGTACAGTCACTTTGGAAAACAGTGTGCAGGTTCCTCAAAAAGTTAAAAATAGAGCTACCTTATGACCCAGCAATTGCACTATTGGGCATTTACTCCAAAGATACAGATGTAGCGAAAAGAAGGGCCACATGCCCCCCAATGTTCATAGCAGCAATGTCCACAATAGAAAGTGTAGAAAGAGCTGAGATGCCCTTCAACAGACAAATGGATAAAGAATATGCGGTCCATATATACAATGGAATGTTACTCAGCCATCAGAAAAGATGAATAACCCAACTTTTGCATCAACATGGATGGGACTGGAGGAGATGATGCTAAGTGAAATAAGTCAAGCAGAGAAAGCCAATTATCATATGGTTTCACTTATTTATGGAACATAAGGAACAGCATGGAGGACATTAGGAGAAGGAAGGGAAAAATGAAGGGGGGAAAATCGGAGGGAGAGATGAACCATGAGAGACTATGGACTCCGGGAATCAAACTGAGGGTTTTAGAGGGGAGGGGGTTGGAAGGATGGGTTAGCTCAGTGATGGGTATTAAGGAGGGCATGTATCGCATGGAGCACTGGGTGTTATATGCAAACAATGAATCATGGATCACTACATCAAAAACTAATGATGTACTGTATGGTGAGTAACATAACATTAAAAAAAAAAGCCTCTGCTCTGTCCACTTAAAAATGGTTAATCTTATCTGATGTTAATTCCACTTCATTTTTAAAAATGGTTAGGAAAAATGTGCACTAGAACTGTCTCCCACAGCTGCAGGTGAAATCAGAGGCAAGCCAAGAACATGTCTTATTAACACTTCACACCTTAAGTGAAAGTTCGGGGAAGAATCTTCATGGCCCATGGTTGTCCCAGGTCATAACTGATATTTAGTATTTCCTCCTGCTTCACCCATTCCAAATTGCACCCAATGATAGAGGCTCTCCGTTAGCTCTGGCATCCTCTCCTGCTTTCAAAGCACCATGATCCTGACACACACTCTCAGAAGATTTGGTTCAACCTGGGATCAACCTGTCTCCTCCAGACCACATGCTACTCATGGTAACATCTTTACTTTTTGACGATGGTTAAGGAAAAGGGGTGGCCCAAAGAGAAGAAAAAGGAGGACAGAAGGGAAATGAAGGGCAGGGAGGAAGAGACCCAGAGGGAGACTCACAAGAAAAGAGAAAAAGGCAGGCACAGAGTTAAAGGAGGAGGCGCAGAGAGAAGGAAAATCAACAGTGTGAGAAAAACAAGCAGACGGACAAGTAGACATATCAGGAGAGGTGTAAGATTGGAAAGAAGAGAGCTGGGATAGTCTTGGATCTCTAAACTCCCCTGGAAAATGGAAGATGCTGAAATTGAACATTCCCTTCTCCGAGGCAGTCTAGAAGTCCCAGACAAGTTTTGCCCCCTCTCCCTGGCTGACCAGAGAGCCAGAGAGCCTCAGCGAGCTGAGAAGTAGAAGCTTCCTGTCAAGAGCCCTTTTTCCCCCAGGGTCGGTGCTGTGGGTGTCAGCTACTCCCACTGATGGCCTCGGGGACTTGCCGTTCCCCAGCAGAGGGAGTGTGGCTGGCTTGTCTTCAGTGATATGTGGCTCTTGTGCCAGGGCAGCCAAAGCTCAGAAGCAGAAGCTACTGAGGAGCAGTTCCTAATTTTGGTGCCACCAGCCAGGCCAGTAGCTCTTCAAATGGGGCTCTTGGGTTTTCTGGCAGTCCTGGCTCTCTTCATCCTCTTGGGGGGAGTCCAGGAACCTGAGCTGGTTGAGGGGTTCTTTGGCAGTAAGTACTGGGGACTAGGTCCTCCCAGTGGAGACATGGAAGTTGCTGGGAGGGAGGAACAAAGAACTCTATGGATGAGGAACGCCTCCCCCACTCAGCCTGGGGTCCTAGGTGGGAGAAAGGGAGATATTCACAGTCCTTCTCTCAGACCCCTACCATCTAGTAAGATGCCTTCTGTGAGTGCAAGAACCTGAGTCTCTAGCAACAGACTCCCCACTATCGTTATGAGACAGACTCCTGCTGGAGGTGCCTGGACCTGGAGCTCATGAGATGGACTAAAGGTGCTGAGACTTTATGGGCCTTTCCTGCAAGAAAGGTCCCTCACCCCAGCACCACCCTCAGCAACTTTGAATCTTCCAGTTGCAGCACCCAAAAGTCTCCCCACACCCACACCCCCAGAGGGTCCTTGCCTGTGGAGTAAAGAATGGTCTCTTGAAGTCCCTCAGAATGCTGAGATATGAAGACCCCCATAAGTAGCAGCTAAAATACACTGAGCACTCAGCAGTGAGACCATACATTGCAGGTTCAAATCCTGGCTCCTCTCCTTAGTAACTGTGTGACCTTGGCGAAATTCACATAACCTCCCTGTGCTCCAGATTCCTCTGTTTATAAAATGTGGATATTGATAGGACTCACCCATAGAAATGCCACAAAGGTTAAGGAGAAGAGAACAAGTCCACAGTAAGCACCTCATTAATATTAGTTATCATTATTACGCCCCAGGCCACCTGACAATGGCTTCCAAGTTTTGTCACCTAATCCTCCAAACAACTCTTTAGGCAAATGAAAGAATCAAGGTCCAAAGATGGTGCCTGCCATACTAATGGTGGCACAGAATTCAAAAGCCCAGGCATCTGACTCCACAAATGGAGATCTCAGTCACCTAGAAGAGCTCTATAGCACCCTCGCCCCCACCCAGGGAACATCCAAATGCAGGAAGGCCAAGTGACCAGAATAGTTCTAGGGGAGAGCATCCTTCTTCCAGAAACCTCATGGTTGGTGGGGGTGGGAGTAGGGCTGTGTTTAGGGACTAGATGGGGAGTCATTATGAGGTTGGGAGTGGGGCCAGTGCTGTGAAAATCCGGAGTCCTCCAAAGGTCACTACCTTCTGGGGACAATGAAGAGAGAAAAGTCTTCTCTAACTCTGCAGTGTTGCCCTGGGCCTGGCAATGGAGGGTTCTGGCCTTCCTTCTTCCTTTTTTTCCCTCCCTCAGAAAGGTGTCCCCGGACCAGAGTACCATGTAGTTACAGAGAAATCGACCAGTGCACGAAGAACAAACCGTGCCCCAGGAAGATGAAGTGTTGCAATTTTAACTGTGGAAAGAAATGTTTAGACCTCAATGAAGGTAACACACAAACCCCCTGAACTATCCAGTGCCCTCCCTCCTGACCCCCACTCTCTGCCCATCTGCCCTGGCAGCGTCGGACCTCTCCCCTGGTTCCCTGATGGCTGGTCTCTGACCAAGAATCTGGGTGCATCTTCTACTTGAC